ATGGTTTTACTGTCAGACTTGTTTTAAATTCACAATCCTCCACCATAAACTTGAAATCTTTAACTTGTGAATTACTGTCCACAGTAATATTGAATCATCTACTAATTTCTGTGAGATAATATCACGGTCATAACCAGAATCCCAAAAAACATTGATTTTCCTCTCCAACCCATGATCCCCAGATAGCCTTCCAAAAGTTTCTGCCATCAAACCCTAAATTCCCAAAATCCTAGAGTGTGGGAATTTATAAGCCGTCAACTCTTTCCCTTTTATTTGTTGCGTGTTCAACCCTACATCACAGCCAAGTCAAAAAGTTACTACACCACCAAAACTGAGTTTTTTCACCGTATCCGCAAACCTGGATCAAAAAGCTTTCTTTCGCTGTCAATGTTTTCACCTCGTTCTTCCATTTTTCTAACTTCCACTGGCTACGTTGATCCAAAGCACACCATCATCCACGTTCAAGCGCTCTCCTTCCTGTCGCAAATTCATGGATTGAACAAAGTTTGTACAAGCCAAGTGACGCAAATTTTACAAAAAACCAGACAACATGTCATTTTAAGCCTTTTGGACAGCCACTTCAAGAACTCACTCGCAAGAAGGGAAGCTCATTCGACACACGAAAAGTATGCAAGCCAAGCAAGACAGAAGAAAAACGAGAGGAAACACGAGCGTTTGTGGCTCTACCAACATGAGTGACATATCCATGGTAAGCTTGCGGAGCTGCTTGTTTAACAAGGCCACTGCTGGTTGGAAGGTCACAAAGGCATGTTGAGCGAGAAAATGATAAACATCGGGGGCCAATGGGACCAGAAACTTCCATGCTTTGCTGTAGGATTAGGCAACGATTACATACCTTTAAACCGCTTCCCCTCTCCTTGCTTTATCCTTGTTCTTCGCTGTTCTTCGCTTGTGTTCTGTTCCTTTCTCTTGAGTCCCCATGCCTTCCTGTTAAAAGAAGCATTAAATCGTTCCAACAACTGTTTCCTATGATGTTGGAGTTGTAAATCCGACTGACCTCGGGCATAGATGTTGGACGTGAGAGAGTACGCAGAGCCTGTTCCATCGTCGAGCTTGAGAACCGACTTGAAGGCCATCCTGCCAAGCTCCACATTTCTCCACTTGAGGCACGAACTTAAGAATGCCATCCACACCACCGCGTCCACCTTGCAAGGCCACGCTCTTTGAGCGCCTCGTTTTGAGAGAAAGAACTTCCCACCGATGCCTCTGTATCCAATCCAGCACTGCAAGCTTGTACGTGAATCTGCTGCCCGAAGTCCAGTGCTGCAAGGCTCAGCGCAGGCTTTGAGAGCAGCAACGTACGTCCGGTTACAAGCTTTTCTCGTGCAGCAACCGAGTGTAGAACTCCAGAGCTCGCTCGGGTTCTCCAAACCGACTATATCCCAAGATCAAGGGGCCTTTGATGCTGTGAAGACTTCCGCCGTGCTTTGACACTTGGTATACATATCCACCGAAAAGTAGTCATCCAGTTCGCAAATCCTTGCGGCTTGCAAGTGGAGAGCTCTGCCTTTCTCCAGCTATTTCTTCACAAGCTTGCGGTCTCCATTCTCTGCTAGAGTCGCAACAGCCTTAAATGCAGCAGTAGCAGTGACATGATCTGCCTTAACACCTTCCTCTTGCATGCTTTCGAACGATTGTAAGACGAGCTTGTGCTGGCCGCCGCAAGCATACCCCAGGATTATCCCCGTCCAAGTCGCACCACCATATCTTGGAAAACCACCCAAGCATCCACCATGCCTCCACACTTGGCGTACATGTCAACGAGAGCATTATGAACCGAGAGGTCTTCTCCGTCCACAAAAGCGAGAGCTCGAGCATGCACGGCCTTGCCTCTCTGCAAAGCCCGAAGCTTAACGACGCCTCCGTCGACAATCTGGCCCTGTTCCTTCTCAGCCAAGGTGACACAGGCCTTTAGTGCAGCAAGAACTGTGACACGATCTGGAGCGCAACCATTCTCGTCCATGCTAAAGAATATCTCAAGAGCTTGCTCGCCTTTGCCGTTCTGAGCATAACCAAGAGTGAGGCAGTTCCAAGAAACCACGTCTGGACGTTCAATACTGTCGAAGAAACTGCGAGACTCCACCATGCTCCCACAGTTGGCATAGAACTCCACAAGTGTGTTGGTCACTAAGATGTTTGAATAGTGCTCACCAGCTTCCAAGCGAACGGCCCTTCCTTTTTCGAAGCTCTGAATCTTCAAGACTTCCGTTTCTTCTTCACCATAAACAACTGATCGATCCATCGATGGGGGAACAAACATGCCACGAATGCGTGCCGGGGCATGGGCAAGTTCCTCGTCCGCAAGACGGCAACAAGCTTTCAGCGCTGCGATGAAAGTTAAAGCATCCGGTGGAGTGTCTCCACGACGCATTCGAGCATAGATATCGAGAGCTTCACCACCCTCGCCGCTGCTGGCATACCCGAGAATCATGCAGTTCCATGTCACCACACTACGATGGCTCATTCCTTCGAAAACTCGACGAGCCTCTGTCAAGCTCCCACATTTTGCGTAAAGATCAATCAAGGTGCTCGCGACGAAGAGATCCGAGTCTAAGCCAAGTTTTACTGCTTTCCTGTGAATCTCCCTGCTCCTCTCTAAGAATACCACCCGTTGACCATCCAAAGCCTGCCCGGAATCCTTCTCTATCAAGCTGGAACAAGCCTTGAGAGCACCAGGAACTGATACTCGATCCGGTTTGTACCCTTCGTCTCCCAGAGGAGCAAACAACTGTAGAGCCATTTCACCATTTCCACTCTGTGCATATCATATCCCTGTACGATCGAATTCCAGGAGACAACATCGCGATGCGGCATGCTGTCAAATGTTCCACGAGCATCTATCATGCTTCCGCATTTCGCGTACAGATCAAGCAGGATGTTGGCGACGATAATGTTTGAGAAGTCACCTGTCTCGGAAACATCCCTGTTCATTCTCCTGCCTAGTTGTAGATCTCTCATGCTTCTACATACCTTGAGAGCACCAACAACAATGCCAATGGCTGGTTTCAATCCCTGACGTTGCATTCGTCTGTACACTTCATTTGAAAGACCCTGAGGTTTCTGCAGAAGTGGACCAACCTTCGCTTCCATCAAGGACAGACTATGGATTCTACGAAGGCCGTAGTAAGAAACGATAAAGCGAGCTCAAAATTTTCATACCTTGAGCCTGATCAGTTCACCGCTGCTAAACAACCTGCAACGTTTCAAGTTCCTTCAATGCAGCAAGATCGCTTGACTTATCCCTCGACAAGCACCAGCTCTACGTCAATATCTCTGCAAGAAATATTAAAAAATGATCTGGATGTTAGAAACGAATAGCCCGATACCTCTGTTTAGACACGCTGCAGCATTTCAAGTTCTTTCTCCAGCCACTGCAATGCAGCAAGATCGTTTGACTCATCCTGGACAAGCACCACTCGAGAGGTAGCTCTACGTCAATATCTCTGAAAGAAAAAGGGAATAAGAAAATCACCTGAAAGAAATAGCCAGATACCTGCGTAAGGACAAAACTTCCAAGTTTTTCTCAAGCAACACGGAATGCTCCTTGAGAGCATCTTGCATGTATGGCTTCACAACCGTCCGAATTGCCGCTGCACTTACTAGATTTTCTAGCGAGCCGTGCTTCCTCATAAGTTTCAGAGCTGTAAAACCAGGCACACCGGGAACACCATCAGCAGCATACCCTAGCACAAGCGCTCACACACTCGCGACTCCAAGCTCAAGCACAAACGAGAATGACTTACAGTGAAAACGAGATGCCATCCGACTTGCTCCCGCAGTAGCAAAGCGGCCATCCGATGGAGCTCGCCGTGGCGCCACCAAGAACTGGGGATTCCGAGCTCGCCCTGGCGCCATTCTGAGCGGGAGCGCGCTGTGCGATCCAAGACGCGGCCGCCATGGACAATTGTACCCTAAATATTTTTAAAAATTTCTGTCGATGCTACATTCTTCCCTCCCAGAATCGAAATCCAGCCACTGGTGCGGCAGAAATCCGAGCGCAAGCTCCATCCGCGGCGGCGTTGGCTTGGAAATCGCTCGATCGAGAGAGAACTCTCGCGGCTAAGCGCCCGGACCAGGCAGTGGGAGAATGTAGGATGAAAGTCAGCCGCCTTGGATCAAATTCACAAAATGACAACAGATTGCCGCTCGATACATGGCCTCGCGCCCTTTCTTTCGACGATCTCACAGCACCACGTTGTGTACCTGACCAGCAAAAGCGAGGGAATTGTGCTCTTTGCCTCTAAGCCCGCGATAATCAGTATCCACGAAGCACCCGGATTCAGTAATAGCCCTTCAAATCAAAATCCTGTGAAGGTTGAGCTCAACTTTGGAGCAAGGCGAATGAAGCTATCCCAATGGATGAACGCAATCAAATTATAATTATCAGCTTATGATTCATAAATCAAACATTGTAATGATCATTCTTTTTAGAGACGACAAATCTAGCTGGTGGAGTTTCTCTGTAAGCAATAACTAGGACGCTGTTGGGACCAGCAAGTACAGAGACAGAATCGTTTCAATTTCTTTTGGTTGAGTGGGCAATATCAATTGTGGTCCAGCCAGCATATCCGATCCTCATTTCCACGCTATAAAACCCTACGTTCCAAACTCCATCGCCGCAGCACAATGGAATCATCCCATTCATTCAATAGCTACAGCCTCCTTATCTCTTCCTTGCTCTTGGCACTCTTCTTTTCATGCATTGCAACTCAATGTTCAGATGATCCAAAGGTGTACATTGTGTACATGGGTGCTGCTGATGAGCATCACAGCCACTTGCTGTCTAGCCACCACGCACAAATGCTCGCATCTGTCTCCAACAGGTGAAATCAGTCACAATGCATCCAAATGCCCAGCATATAAAATATCTATAGATTCTATAGCTGTTTGTGTTCTTTTGTGTTCTAATTATTATTTGCTTTTTTGTATTGTGCTGTGGCAGGAGTGTGGAATCAGCTATGGAAACTATTGTCCACAGCTACACCCGAGCCATCAATGGCTTTGCCGCAAAGATGCTCCCCAGTCAAGCATCTATGCTACAACGTAAATTCCACCACTTTCTCTGCTGTTTCATAACACATACATACACTGAAATTTCACATTTCATATGGTTTTCTCCATGAACTATATAGAGATGCCGGGCGTGGTTTCCGTGTTTGAGGACTACACAGTATCCCTCCAGACAACCCGTTCTATAAACTTCATAGGGCTGGAGGACGCATCCGGAAACACCGCAGCAAACTCGCTATGGAAGAAAACAATGGGCGAAAACATGATAATTGGCGTACTGGACTCGGGTATATGCCAATCCCCGATTCGAATCTTTCTTTAAATCTCCCGCATTTTCTTCTAGGTGTCTGGCCAGAGTCGGCGAGCTTCAGCGACGCCGGGCTGCCGGCTTCCCTTCCTGCGAAGTGGCACGGCAGCTGTGCGTCGAGCGCTTCCTTCACATGCAACAGGTAACGCGGATTAGATCTCTCGATCGATCGTTTCATCGAGTCGACGTAGGGATTGCTTCTTTTGTATTGCTGCTGAAGATTTCGCTGATGGCGCTTGCAGGAAAGTAATTGGCGCGCGGTACTATGGCTTTTCCGGCGGCAGACCCCTGAATCCTCGCGATGAAACTGGGCATGGATCTCATGTCTCCTCCATAGCAGCGGGAGCTCGTGTGCCGGGCGTTGACGACTTAGGGCTCGCCAGAGGCACCGCAAAGGGCGTCGCGCCCCAGGCTCGAATTGCCGTGTACAAGATCTGCTGGGCGGTGAAGTGCGCGGGAGCCGATGTTCTCAAGGGCTGGGACGATGCGATTGGCGATGGCGTGGACGTGATCAATTACTCGGTGGGAAGCTCAAATAGTCCCTACTGGTCTGACGTTGCCTCCATCGGTGGCTTCCATGCCGTGCGGAAAGGGGTCGTGGTGGTCGCAGCTGCTGCAAATGGTGGCATCGGTTGTGTTGTACAGAACACTGCGCCGTGGGTGACGACGGTCGCTGCGAGCACGATCGATCGACGCTTCCCGAGTAACGTCGTCCTGGGAGATGGTTCATTATACCAAGTAAGTTCTCTCCGCGAATTTTTCTTTCTTTTGCTCACTTCTTGTTCAGGGATCAAGCATCAACAATTTTAGTCTCGGCAATAGTTTCTATCCTCTGGTGAATGGAAGGGACATCCCTGCGCCCACGACATCACCCGAAAGGCAAGCTTGTATTGTTACTCTTTCTTGCTTGACTGGTTTTTCTCTTTCTCTCGTTGTGCAGTGCTATGGGCTGCTCGCCTGGAGCTCTTGATCCTGCCAAAGCCCAGGGAAAGATAGTTCTTTGCGGCCCTCCATCCGTGGATTTCAAAGATATCGCTGATGGATTGAAGGCTATTGGTGCAGTTGGGTTTATTATGGGAAACGATGCAGATGGCAAGGAGAGATTGCTGTCACTCAGATTCACGATGCCTGCTACTGAAGTTGGAAACACAGCTGCAAATTCTATTTCTTCCTACATCAAGTCAAGCAGGTAAATAAGTTTTGCTTTGAAAATTCGATTACTCGATCACGAGGTCTCTTGTAGGAATCCAACCGCAAAGATTATACCGCCAACAACAGTGATTAATCAGAAGCCATCGCCCATGATGGGAATCTTCTCTTGTAAAGGTCCCAACCCTGTTGTCTCAGACATTCTCAAGGTCTGTGCCATGCAGATTGTATATGTTCAGTGATTAACGGTGTTTGTGCGAGTGGAAAAACAGCCAGACGTAACAGCTCCAGGCGTGGACATCCTTGCCGCATGGTCAGAAGCAGCTGATAAGCCACCTCTCAAGTATAAGTTCGCCAGTGGAACATCAATGGCCAGTCCCCATGTTGCAGGCTTAAGCACACTTCTCAAATCCTTGCATTCTGATTGGAGTCCAGCAGCGATCAAGTCTGCGATCATGACCACAGGTATCTTAAAAGCTGCCGAGATTTTTTAGCATTGTAAACTTACAGTTCTAATCCATCACCACAGCTTACACGCAAGACAACACCGGGAAGACAATTCTCGACGGTGACTATGACGTCGCTGGTCCCTTCAACTATGGATCAGGACACATCAATCCGGTTGCAGCAGCGGATCCGGGGCTTGTTTACGATGCAGGAAAGCAGGACTACGTCGCTTTCTTGTGCAACATTGGCTTCTCGGCAGGACAGATCCAAGCTATGACTGGAGAACCTGGTAACTGTCCTGCCACCAGAGGCCGAGGCAGCGACTTAAACTACCCGTCAGTGACGCTCACCAATCTGGCCAGAGGGGCAGCAGTGACGAGAACTCTCACCAGTGTCAGCGATTCGCCAAGCACGTATAGCATTGGTATAACTCCACCGAGCGGGATCAGTGTTACTGCCAATCCAACGAGCTTGACGTTCAGCAAGAAGGGGGAACAAAAGACGTTCACGCTCAACTTCGTTGTGAACTATGATTTCCTGCCTCGACAGTACGTGTATGGTGAGTATGTGTGGTATGACAACACGCACACTGTTCGCAGCCCGATTGTGGTCAATGCGGTGAGTCGCCTTGCAATCGGGGAAGAGAAATTGGTTTCTGAGATTTAACGGAAGGTATCATGGTACTACTATATTTTCATGCTACAGGGAACAAAGGAAGTAATAAACATGATACGTATCAAATACTAAGCATAATGTTCCTTCAAACGGAAAAAGACTTTGAAGAACGGCAGAGAGGCTTTAAAAATTCTTTAAAGTCACAAAAAAATCGGAGCTGAGTTTTGAGATGTCAAAACCATTCTGCCAAAACTTACCAGGCCTCAATCGAAAGAGTGGAAGTTTTTCTCTCTGGCAGCGATTTTGACATGTCACTCAAAGCGGGATGTAATTCAGGACGATGCATGAGCTTTACATTTTCAAATTCCACTTCCCCATTCTCTGGCCTCTTGGAAACATGTGGTTCTTGTTTGTTTGTCACCAACTTCTACATAGATCATTATGTACCGTTGTAAAAACTATACATGTGGCATGTCATCCAGGTTAGGGTTTGTGCGATGGCGCTTTGGCGCGATCGATGGCGCGCTGTGGTGCTGGTGATGGCTGGAATGCGCATTCCTGATTGCATCGCGCTCGTCCTCTCGTTGGTATTGGATCTTTCTGCTGCTGTTGCTAATCGATTTTGGTACTAGGGAGCTCTCGGATCGGATTATCTGGATGTGATGTCGATTGCTAGGTAAGTTCCTCATGCCCTCAATCTCTCTAGGATTGCATGGAGTCAGTCTTGTGTGTGATGATTGTCGATCAATGCGTGCTTTTCCTTGCCTGTATTCTTCTTTTTCTTCGCATTCTTTGCCTCGGTTTGAGTTGAGGCTCGAGAAAGAGAGAGAGAGTTTTAAGAGAGTTCTTCTTGCCTTGATATATGATAGTGATTATCCAAATTCTCCAGTTGCTGAAGAGGTTAAAGTTTCGCTCACTCAATTAGTGATTTACATTCTAGTTGCAATGGTGCGAGGCAAGATGAGCAAACCTGGCAGCAATGGTGGCATCCACACCCATGCATGCCGATAATCCACTTTTCTCCTTGACGATTTGCTACTTGATCAAGGCTTTGGAAGCTAGCTAAGCTTTGGTTTCTTTCTCAGTGTACGCAATGTGTATTTGGACGAGCATGGCATTTAGCTACCTTGGAAGGAGTTTTGACAACGCCCTGAGATTGCTATCCGAGTCACTCTTGCTCTTAGCATGACTCGCTGGAAGTTCCTGGCTCTCACTGTAAGTTTTCTCTTGAGTTTTCCAGGCTCTTTTTGTTTTTTAGTGCTAGTGGAGATGCTGTACATGCGCCAGCAGCTCAACGCCATCTCCTGTGACATTGTTCGCCATTGGTATCAGATAGCTAACTTTACTCCCTTTTTTCTGCAGTTCTTGGTTGATGATCCATGGCAGCTTGTTTCTTTGGTGCAGAATTTATTGTCTCTCAAGGAAGGCTGAGATGCTGAAGTAAAGAAGGCATACCCGAGCAAAGGAGTCATTCCAGCCCGACTTTGATCCGGTAATGTTGCAGAACTATGACAAGCGTCTGTGATAGATGGTTTCCTGCATCCTCATGTTCTAGCAGCACAGTCGAATGCCTTTGCTGTCGGAGATGATGGAAGAAGAAGAGCCCGAGAAGGCCGAGCTTGAGAACAAACTCGTGAAGACTAGGAAAGTAAGTTCCTCTTGTGGAACTAGAGTTTGTTCTCTTTTCTCTCGTGGAACTATACTAAATCTCTCTCTTTGTCACAGCCACATCTACATGAATTGCAACACCAGCATGCATTGAGGAGAGATGTGGCCTCAACACCAAAGCCAAGGAAGCTCGGATAAACACCAAGTCTAACAGCGCTCAAGCCGGATTGACAGAAAGCAGTGGAGCTGCCAGGTACCATCAGCCTCAGTAGTGAAGCACTTCTCATGGCTCTAGCTTGCGGCTTCATCAACATGTAGTTCTTGAGAGGTACCTCTTTTCACTCTTCCTCGAAAATCCTTTCATAGTTGTGCTGATCCGTCACTTCCTTTTCTACAGGAACGCCTCTCTCAGTCTTTCCCAGAACAGATCAACCGAGCAGGCACTTGCCCAGCACCGCCAGCACCGCACCCCACCCAGCTGCCAGCCGCCAGCGCAGCACCGCAGCTCCATGCCGCCCCCGGATTAACAAGTCGAATTATAAGTTTAATTATAAGTCTAATTGTATTTGACTTAGCACAACTTCAATTATAACTCTCATTTTGAGCCAAAAAAGCTCCGTGTGATTATCCTAAGATTACTATGACATAGCCTTAGCTAGCATGAAACCATATACACACCATCTTAATCAGCACCCCTAATTACCTCTCACTCATACTAGATTTATTATAAAATCTTCTAGCATGCTTGTTTTCAGTATAAGCTGTATATCATATTGCAGCACCGATGTCTAAGTTGCCATCTTGGAAGTGCCACCCAGCTACAAACTTCCTTTGCAAGCAAGGCAACACTGTACCACAGAAACTACCTTAATCTCCACCACCATTAGTCTTGCACAAGATGGGCTCTTGCTACCTTTGCCTCTAATCATGATAGTGTGTGTGGATGCTACCAAATTTTGATCTTGATCAAGCAAGGGAGAGAGGTTAACAATTGTTCCCTACCAACTAGGCACCCATGACCCCCCAAAAACATGTATAATATAGAACTTCAGATAACTTAGTTGCTTTAACTGATAGCACATTCTTTTGTGCCACAGGGACCAAGAGTGATAAGAAAATCAATTTATGTTGTGGTCTCATGCCTCTAGTTCGCCATTGCAAGACCCCCAAAAAGATGTATTATTATTTCTTTAAGTGTTTAATATTGTGCTATGTTAGAATACGTTTTTCTCCTTTAAATCTCAAAAACCAGGTTTCTTCCCTACTTACACAGCGACTCACCACAATGTGAATGTTACTAATGCAATAATACTGATCCCTATCGAGCTATACCAATCCTGTACATGCTTAGTGAATCACTAACACTAGCGAGAGTTTTCATCACTATTCCAGATTGGTGAGTGTCACTGATAGATAGTTTAGGTTGGTTCCTTAGTCTCTAATGGCAGGACATGTCTCGGGTTTCTAATGCCCTACCAAGCCAATGTTGCATAAGAAAGTGTTATATTCCTTCTCTTCTGTGGCATAAACAAGCCCAGGTTGATGTGTTTACCTAGTGATTATATAGTTCTTAAACAATATACTTCAGTAGAGATTTAAATTAGGAGTTTCCCATCTACTTGCTTCAAGCACTCAAGAAATCTCTATAAATCCAAGCATAATATAACCCTTATATAGAATATCCTCACTCTAAGAATATTCTGGAATCTTACTCTCGCCTGGCAAAAAAAAACCATGACCTACAACTGTAAAAACTTGTGGCCAAAAAGTGAAAGCAAATGCCCAATAGAAGTAATTGGAGAAGGAAGAATAAAAGTAAAAAGGATAAAGGTGTGAAGTTTGAAGACGGAGGAGAAAATTTAATAATCAAATTAAACCCAAGATTCAAGAAGAAAAACAAGAGAAAAGTGAGAAAAAGAGAAGAACAACTAAGTAAACACAAAAGAAAGAAAAGAAAAACCAAGGTCTAGTGAAGAGATTTAGATCTAAATTACACTCTCCAAAGTTCTCAAACCTTTAAAAGTACCAAAATCTCCTTAAAGCTTTGAATAGTGGTAAGTGCAAAAAGTGGGAGGATATAAAAAATAGATGGAAAGGAAAGTGCCTCAAGGTGCTTGATCAAAAAGAATGTTAGCCACAAGGTGAGATAAAGAGCTCTCCAAAAAATGCCAACTGGATTGTATCAAAAGCTAGAAGTCTACAACAATATGCAGTGCAAGTTGGCAAATCTCTAATCTTCATCTATAGAACTGCTGTTAATTGGGAAAGCATGCCTAAAACAGATCTAGATGCCTTTTGCACTAGGCCCAACCAATCATTAAAAGACTTTGCTTCACTACTATAAGTATCAAAATATGGATAGAATTGTTGCTAGAACGTGGAGAAGAAAGAGATTCTCCTACTGAAACTTGGCTGAACGGTGGAGGCTGTCTCTGTAAAGACTCTGTGCCTATAAACCATTGTGTCAAGCTAAACTGTGGTACCTAATGAAAAGATGGAAAAGGCAACTACTGGACAGATGGGCAATGGTGTAAGATGTAAAGCCCAAGGGGAATCAGAACTTCGGAAAACTTGAGCTTCTGGACAAATAAAATCAATACCACCTCAAGAGCTACAACCCAAGCAAGAGGCTATTTCTAATGAACTTGTGACCTGGTGAAGAAAGAAAGAACAAAGATTGAAGTTGGGAGTTCAAAGTTGTTGTAAGTGTCCTATAGGTGTCCTAGGAACCTGCACCACTATCCCAAAAGTTGAATTGAGTGCAGTTGGATGATGAACCAAGGCGCTGATGAGAAGCTGAAGATGTCCTAAATGCATGAAGTGGTGTCTCCCCCGAAAGGTATATTACACACTAGCACGTCGAGATCACAAAGCTGGAGGAAACGTGCTCCACCTATTGTGCTGAGTAGAAGACAAGTGCCTATGTGCTCTCTAAGAGCTGGGAGTCTCACTAAGCAAGCACTGAAGGTGTGAACAGATCCTAGGATTCTTGTGTCCACCACCTTAGTCACTAAGCGGATAAATTGCTTTAAACAAGGCCTGAATATTGCTCCAAGTTGGAATAGAAAAACTTGCTGGAACCTTGTGGCATCCCTAGCTTTGTGAGCCCAAAACTCACATGCAACACATCCAAAGTCTCTGCTAATGGATGAAGAATGTCAAGAGGAGAGTCTCTTGAGAGTCACCATGAAGAGCTAGTGCAAAAAGCATAGGCAAAAAACTCTCCCCTTGTGATGGAAGCTCAAAAGTGTCCATATGTTAGTAAACAAGAGAACATAGGAGCACCAAAGCTGGCCTTAAGTGAAAACTCATTTGCAGTGCCAAATGCCTAGCAATAAAAGAAGATCATTGACTTCAAGAGAAAATAGTGTGCATCTGGCCTAGGGATCATCATAAAGTCTAGTATGAACACAACCTCAAATAAAAAGGTCATAGTCTCAAAAGAACTCTGGGTGGCATGACCTCCACATGAGTACTCTAAAGCTCTTCTACTGGCTATAGAAGAAAAATCATGCCTAGGTCAGTTGTTGTCTCCAAATCCTTTATAGTAGGCAATTGGGGAATCTACCAAATCTTTGGTATAAGCTCGGCCTCATCCTGCTCCTGCTCCTCTCGCTGCATCACGATTCTCGCACATCTTCTTCTCTGAAACAGCAAGATTTCAGCTCGCGAGCCAGAGATCGAGAGAGAAAGAGAGAATCTTTGCCAAGATTTCGAGTGTGAGGGAGAGATTGAGAGTGAGGGAGAGATATTTCGGGAGAGATTGCACGAAATTTCACCTTGCGCAGCTTGAGCCTTGGCCCTTTCCTTGTCCTGGCGCTGCCGTTGGGATTCACTGATCCCGCGACGTTCCTTCCTCGGCATTCTCCTCTTCCCCTTCTTCTCGTTGTCGGCTGCCCTCGTCGAGCTTTTGCCCGCCATCGCACTTCCTCCACACAAAAAACCCTCGCAACGAAGCAATGAAGAAGAAACGAATATTCATGTTTTTAAATTTATTCCCGCCCTCGCATACAAGATCCTAGCCGACCACGTGGCAAGGCGAGCGATGATGCCACAGTTCAAATGAATTACCATGCCAGCCGAGCATTACCATGGCGTTCTTTCTTTTTAATTTGACGGCGTAAGCTCTGGTGACTGCCCCGCATACACGATCGTCGCCGACCACGTGGCGAGGCCATGGTGGCCGTGGCAGCAGACCATTTCCAGGTTTAACGACTAACTGCTATAACATTGTCACGCGAACAGAGTGGCGGCAGCTCCGGCGGCGCAATGCTCTCGGGGTAGCGCGAGCATGATCCAACCATGGAAGCTCTCAATGGCGTCAAGAAGAGGCATTTCAGGGTAGAGGGTTTCCAGTGGCCCTTCTCGCGCGTGGCTATGGAGTGGAGGCCTGGCGCCGGCACCGCCAAGCGCAAGAAGATCTCCAGCGACATCAATGTCGCCACTCCTCCTCCTCCTCCTTTACTTCCTCACCCTTCCTCACTCCTCTCCCTCCGGCAGCTCAATCACTCACCACCACCGCACGATCCAAACTTTCTCCGCGCGCTCCAGGCCAATGCTCTTCGGACAATGTCGGTGAATGGGAAGGGCTTCCTATCGAATCCTTGGTCGAACAGGGCAGCTTGGTCCAGGGTCCAGAGCACGCTCGGGTCGAAGAAGGATCACGGTGGGGATTTGATGAACAAGAAGAGGCAGCTGGAGCTGTGGGACTTGGCGGGGTTCTCTCGTGAGAAGTTAAAGCTTCTCAATGAGATTGAGGTGCTCATCGACTCGGAGGAGAATGCTTTGAACATGGAAGCTTCTGCTAAGGTTGGTCGATGGCTCCTTCTTTCTTGAGTTTAGACCATCGTTTTATTTCTTCTTTCTTCTTTATAGGCCGCGGAAGGACGTCTTCGAAGCTTGCTGGATATCTGCGTATGCTCTCAATGCCAGGAGAATATAGAGAACAGGATAGCTCTACAAAGCGTGAGAACCAAAGGTTTGGACGATGGCAAGGTTATTTCAGCAAGAACGAATGTAGCGACTGCAAAGCAAGAGGATCAGACAGCACCAGCGCTGGAAGGTCCCAAAACCACGAAGGTGACACTTAGATATAGTTTTCTAGGTCGGAAGTATTGATTTGGTTGCGTGTTCTCAGCTTCCAGAATCTCTCGAAAAGGAAAGAGAGAAGGAGAGGCGCTTCTTTCTTGGAAATGTGAAAGAAGCCATGGAGCGTGACCGGGTTGCGCTTGACAACTTTCTGCAGAAGCAGAGGCTCAAGCATGAAGTGTCTAAGCAGAAACTTGGCGAGGTGAAGGGGAGCTTTCTTGGGAAGTATCTGAGCTTTCTTGACAACTCACTGGACGATGCTCTCCAAAAGGACGATTTAAGCGACAAGCACGACCAGGTTTTCAAGTCTTTTACGTGTTGCTTTATTTGATCTCGAGGTCTCACTTTAGATTTCCTGTGTTAGGATTCAGAAGGTTTGGAGGATCCTTCCAAACTTCGCAAGGATCAAACTCCTGAGCTGGAACGATCTTCTGAAAAGTCAGATGAAGTAACCGCGCGAACTTAACTTAGCTTTGCTGGCGCCGCCTTGTCTAGACACTAGAAAACGGAGGACATGCC